TTTACGGAAGATATTACCAAGGGGGAGAAGGGGACCCAGGGCAGAACCCTGGGGCACACCTGAATTGACAGAAGAGGGCTGGGATGTGAAGGTTTATAGCTGGATGAACTGAGTGCGACACGACAGGTATGATTTAAACCAGTTTAGAGGGGTCTGAGTGATACCAAGGGCAGAGAGTCTATTGAGGAGGGTGGAATGACAAATGGTGTCAAAAGCTGTAGTTAGGTCACGGAGTATGAGGATGGAGAGTAAACCAGAATCAGCTGCCATGAGGAGGTCATTGGTGATTTTAATAAGGGCAGTTTGTGTACTATGAAGGGAGCGGAAGCCAGAGGTATAGGAAACAACACAGTGCAGTACACTCATATGTCTTCTGTCTGTGATCTCTTTTACACTCTTGTCTCCATTTCTCCCTCAGAGCCACCTACCTGCTCCACGGAGCAGTTCACCTGCTCCACAGGTGAGATCGACTGTATTCCTATGGCCTGGCGCTGCGACGGTTTCTCTGAATGTGAAGATGGCAGCGATGAGAAGAACTGCCCCGTCTGCTCTGCCTCCCAATTCCAGTGTGACAAGGGCGGCTGCATTGATGCCCAGTGGCGCTGCAACGGAGAACCCGACTGTGCCGACAACTCAGATGAGCAGGACTGTGAAGGTATCTGTGGACCCTGCATCACACATTAGTCAGAACCAAATCCTAAAGGCCGGTGATCATCCACAGGCGTCCTGTGGGCCAGCACTGACAACTGCCAAACCATCTAATTCGTCCTGTGACTGGATTTCAAAATAGACATACAATAATAATTTTAGAGAAAAATGTGGTTTTCATTTCATTTTATTTGCGTCTACACCCCAGAAAAAAAAAATCTGGCCCTTTATTTTGACATTTCTTTTAAAAAAACTCTTGATCTCAACTCTTTGTCCCTTAATTTAAACTTTTCATATTCTATTGGTGACTTTTTTTAACATACTTTTGATTTTCTTTTGTATTGTTTTTACCTTTTTATTGACTCACATTATGACCTCGTGTCAAATCTTTATTTTTATAATATTTTAGTAGAAAAATAGTTTTTTTCACTAAAACAATAATATATATATATATAAATATACACAAAAAGAATATTTAGGTTTTGGCTTTTCCTTTATAATTTTTCACTAGCATTTATGGACGTAACATCCTGGGTTGAAAATAACTAAAATAATGCTTTCGAAAAAAATCCACATCTAAGTTCAGTTCATTCAACAATATTTTGATGCTGTTTTCAACAAAGACTCTCCTGACGACCAATGTCTACTTCTCTTTCAGTCATCTGCTCTCCAAACCAGTTCCGCTGTGGTGACAACCAGTGCATCACTAAGAAACAACAGTGTGACAACTACTCCGACTGTCCTGACGGATCAGACGAGCTCTCCTGTGGTAAACACACACACACACACACAGTGTCTGTGATAAGCCATGTGTATTTTACAAACATTTTCCAACGTCTACAGCTCTTCTTTTTTTTCTTCGTACATGTGTAGAATACATGTCGCCGCCCTCCAGTGGCATTCCCAACACCGGCACCAACACCATCGGCCCAGTCATTGCCATCATCCTGCTGGTGTTTGTGATTGGAGGAGCTTATTTTTTCTGCCAGCGTGTGGTGTGTCGACGCTACAAGGGCCCCACTGGTAGTTTTCCTCACGAGTACATTAGTGGTACACCCCACGTACCGCTGAACTTCATCGCCCCCAACAGCTCGCAGCATGGCACCTTCCAAGGTTTGAACAGGAACAAGCTCATTCTGAATGACCTGATAGAAATAAGTAACACAAAAAATATTTCCCAAGGATGCAACTTTCGTTTGTGATGTAGTCAAAATTTCAAGAATGACTTAGTTCATTGTCCTCTGTATAATCAGCAAACAGGAAAATCTTAAATGAATTTGGTGCCTTCCCTGCAATGATTCCACACCCTCAACCCCCACTTTAGGAACCCATGTAATAGTTTATGACAGACATACTAAAATGTCCTGTAGGAAACACTGTGGTTTGTTTTAGTGTAGTGAATCCTAAAATTCTGTGTGCAGGTATCTCCTGTGGTAAGTCTATGATGAGCTCAGTCAGTCTGATGGGCAGCAGCAGCAGTGGAGCTCCTCTCTACGATAGAAACCATGTGACAGGAGCCTCGTCCAGCAGCTCGTCATCAACCAAAGGAGCCTTCTACCCTCAGGTACACACAATAATAAATCCAAACCAAACACACACACACAGATTCATCTTAACCCTAAGTCTGACACGTTAAATCCACTAGGGGGCAGAATACCTGTATCAGCTCTTATGCAGCAAGTTTTAAAGGAAATAATTGATCATGTTTATAAGCTGTAGGTCTCTAATGGTTTTATAAGGTTAACGATGTAGTTCTGTAACTCACCACTATTTTGTTTGACAGATACTGAATCCTCCTCCATCTCCGGCCACTGACCGCTCTCTATACAACACTGAGGTTTTCTACTCCTCCAACAGTCCATCCACCAGCAGGTCCTACAGGTGAAATAAAGACAGCTGTGATGTTACATGAGTCCAAACTCTTTCTTCAGATAAAAACAAAAACTAAAAAAAAAAAAATCAATTAAAATAACAAGAATCCCTGTACATTAGATATAGATATATAGATGGTGCTGAAGTGTCTTGTCTCTATCATATAATATTTGATTTATATTTGGCTTAATAATATTAAGAGAGTGTCTGACTCTTTACATATCCTAGCTAAGCTTTAAAAACCAATAACAGTACTATATCAAATGAAATATAACGTTTGAAAATTTTACAAATGTAATAAAAAAACACGACGCACCAGAAAGACTATACTTCAGTCTGATTATCTCTCTGACTTCCCATCAGGCCATACCACCCAGTCCGTGGCGCTGCACCGCCTACCACGCCCTGCAGCACTGACGTCTGTGACAGTGACTACACACCTCACCACCTGCCGGTCGGGCTGGCACCATCAACGGGCCGCTGGAAAGCCGTGAGCCACAGCAGCCATGGCAAACACAACAAGTACTACATGGACCTAAACTCGGACTCTGACCCTTACCCCCCACCTCCAACCCCCCGCTCCCAGTACATGTCCGCTGAGGAGAGCTGTCCTCCGTCTCCTTCCACTGAGCGTTCTTACTTCCACCTGTGCCCGCCTCCCCCCTCACCTTGCACCGACTCCTCGTGACCCTCCCCCAGTGGAGCTCTGTGAGGAAGGAAAGGACACAGAACTGGTCTTGTCAGGTTCTACAGTACCAGAGACAGAAGTCACAGGTACCAGATTCTTCAGCTCCAGTGCCTCCGTAAAGGTTTCCCATTTCCCTTGTCGGTCTTGTCATCATTCCAGTCGTCCTGCAGCTCTCAGGTGACCATCATCTAATCTGTTCCGGTGTCCTGCTCTTGTATGGACTTTTTTCGAGGCAGGTTACAGGTTTGAGGCTCTTTCTGTTCTTTCTTTCTCTATGAAGGACACAAAAAGATGCTGTTAGTTTCATTTTCATTCCAGCAGAAAAAACAGGTTTCCTGCGCACGGCTGCTTCCTGTGGTGAATGTGAGTATAACTCCTGACCTCTTGTTCACTAGTGGGCGCTTGTGTTGAGTTTTAATTCCATAACTTTTCCACTTGCATGCACTGGTAGCAAAGACTTGGACGTCCTGCCTCATCTTCACTTTTACCTCCAGGCCTTTTGTCCTCACCTTCCTCACAGTATCCTTGTTGCCACAGGAGCAGTAGGACTGTAAATAATGTTAAAATATTATGAAAAAAAAAATCAGAGAAGAATTATTTTGCTATTTTAATTAATGCTGGCTTTGATACCATGGCACAGATGAGAAAAGATGTGTGAAAAATAAGATTTATAGATGACGACTGGATGAATGTTTAGAGACAGTGAATAAGTGAATATCCAATAGGAGGGTTGGTGAAACAGTGGAAATGTTGTGGACACAAGAGCCTGAAACCAAAACTCTAGAGGTTAATGAATGTCGCAACGTTCACCTTCGTGGTCATGAACTTTGTGGAGTATCCTTCAGATTAACATCATGGCGCTTCAGTGCAGTTAGTTAGAACTGAAGACTCCTCCACCTTGGACCATGTGAGTGCAGTGTGAAATTAGAACGGTTATTCAAATACTTTCCACTAGGAGGAGATCCTGAGTTCGCATTAAGGTTAATGTCCATCATCTGGCCTAATAATTTCATGGAATCTCCCAGGAGTAGAGGGAGGAAAGTTGCCCCTGCTACACCTCTGCAGGCCAATCACGGCCAAATATGGAGCATGGATCAATGAATATAAAATTAGTGAGTGAATGAGGAAAAAAGTGCCATGACCTTTGGACTTTATTATTGAAACTTTGTCCCTCATCATTTCATACTTCTTCAGTTGAAACAGCTAACAGCTTACAAAGTTACCACCTGACAACAACTTCAGTGACGAAGAAAAACAACAAACCAAAAGAATATCACCGTGTAAAGCTATTGTACATATGTGTAATGAAGTGGTGGAGTGAGCATGGACGTATCTCTGATGTTCTGTTGTGAATCTGAACCTCTTCTTCTCTCTCATCATCCCGTTTACCAAAAGTATGTTTGCTGCTATTGTGTACATACCATGTTAGATCCTGTGACCTATCCTAATTACCCAGAATTCCCCTTACTCCCAAAAAGTTACCACTCTCATACTGACAGTAGATCATTAAGCTATTTTAAACGTAATAACAAATTATTCTTATAGCAACGTTTTCTTACTCATATCTGTGTTTGTGTTGTAGACCATTGTGTATGTTTTCTGTCCATCTTTGTTTTGAAGGAGTTTTTTTTTAAACAGAAAAAGTGAAAGGTAAACCAGGGTTCAGAGCTGGACCAGATGTACGATAATGCCTGTCTTTGTATGATAATTTCACCTTCTACTCAATCAGTGATTCAAAACTTTCCATATGGTATTATGACGTGAGATGCCGTGTTAAAAGTGAAATGGAGAGCACTTTTATTTCCCATGATGACCAAAGAGACTAACCAGCCCAACTGAAATAGGCAGAAACCACCAGCCAATCAAAGGCAGAGTGTGTGGGTCTTCGTCATCCTGCTGTTGACGAATGGTACAACCTGAAAAAATAAGCCTTTTGTTTTATTTAGTGAGACGAAACATGGGAAAAAGGAGAATGCCTAAATAAACTACTAGCTTTTCTGAACGAGGCCAAAAGATGAAAAGTATCGATATTTTCACCCCAGTGAATAAAGTTTGATCCATTCTGATCTTATTATTTTTTTGCAGAAAAAACAGACTTAGCAACTGTGGCTGTCGTTTTAGACTGAACATCCCAGCGCCTACAGACTGATCAGGACCTGTTTGTCAATTTTATTCATGACTAAGAAATTGTCACAAAAACATGTACCAGCACTTAACTTCTGGAACTTCAGAGAACAGAAGTGAATGATGTCTGTCGTCAGCCTGGACCCTGATGTGAACCTTTGAATTCAAGGCTCTAACCGTAGCCTGAAACAAACCACTGTGTCAGTGAAACTCCTACAAACCCTAGTTTATGTTGTCTCAACTGAGGTAAAAAATGCTTTTACACTTGTGACAGATTTTGTATCAAAAGCATTTTTATATAATAAAGGTTCTATTTTAAGGAATGTATTGTTTTTTGTTTTTTTTTCTGGGACATATGAACACATTTTTCTTTTGCAGGCTTCATATAAACATTTTCTCTTGTTCAATTTTAGCACATTATGATCTTAAGGGTAATTTTGTAGCTTATTTGTAAATTTTAAGTTAAAATGTACCTAAGCCAGTATAAAGATTTTGTTTTGGTTACTTTTAGCTGTTTACTGACAAAATTGTACCTTTGGGTAATTTATCAATTTTTTTAAAGGATTTTCAGTCAGTTTGAAAAAAATGAATTAGTGAAAGAAAATGTTATTGTCAATTAAATAGTAAGAGTCCCTTTGTACCGGTTTACTCAGCAACAGAAAAGTAAGAATAAGTATTAAATAATAATAAAAAAAAAGGGCTCGTCCGGGATTTGAACCCGGGACCTCTCGCACCCAAAGCGAGAATCATACCCCTAGACCAACGAGCCTTGACGTATCTCGACAGTAAAAACCTGTTAAACAGAAATAAAAATACACACGACAAGCGGTGTTCCTGTGTTTTGCTGCCATCTTCTGACATCCATAAGAAACTGCGTAATTTTAAAATTGACTTCAATTTTTTTATACACACTAAGCGTAATACAGAAATATATGATATATATAGCGTTTCGGTTGCTATTGCAACACATGTTTGTAATGTAACACGAACCCTAATTTTTAGGCCTATTGTTTTAATAAAAGTGTTTAATTTTAATGTTATTACGACCTGAGGGGTCGTTTTTCCACATTTTCCCGTTTTACTTTTCAGATGACGGCTGCTAGGGAGCTTCCCTAGCAGAGAAGCAGGAGCTAGCTTGTTGTTTGGAACTGTTCCCTTAAGTAAAAAAAGGTATATGCTTATTTGTTGTTGGCATTTTTTGGGGGGGCGGGGTTTGGGGGGGTTAACTCTCTTTCTAACATTTTTGTTAAGTACAGAGCGTTAGATGTGAACATAACAAATATTACCTTATCTTATGTAATGGAAATTTACATGAACAAAGCACGAAGAACAAAAAAAGCTAAGCAACAAGCTAAGGGTTACCTCAGTTAGCCTCCCCAGCTCCTCCCTTAGGCCTACCCTTAGCCCCGCCCCCTTACCCAGGTGTAGTATATAAGGCCTCCAAATGGCTCAGTTGTCTCTCTGGCTGCTCCCTGGTGAGGTTCTCTGTGCTGGTACAGGTAGGTCATGTTACGTTATATGTTAGATTTGTTCTTTTCACTCCTGTTTCTGTCTGTTTGGACCAACTTACTGTTTTGTTAGGCCTGATTAGCGTTTTTGGTTATGGTTACACTAATGCTAACCCTGTTTCCATTCCTTTTTTTTAAGTTTAGATGTAGATTCGTGGCCATGGAAATTAATAACTGTGTTGTTGGTTTTGTTAATTTTGTGCTTTTTTTGTTTGTTTGTTTGTTTTTTTCTTTTTATTGTGGCCTAGGTGTTGTCAGGTGGCAGGCTAGGCCCTGTGGTTGGGACCCTACTCGTGTTAGTTCTACCTAGAGCTGAAGCATGAGCTGAAGCCTCTTAGCTGTTAGCTTCTTTGGTTTTTGTCAAATGAGGTGCTTTCATCTAGTGAAGTTGGCCTCTCTGCGCCTCATGTTGAAGAAGTGGCTCAGATGCAGCTAGTTAGCAGTGTTCTAATGGCGGTGCTGCCCCTACAGGCCTGAGCTGAAGCCTGTTAGCTGTTAGCTGTTGGTTGCTTTGGTTTTATTTCAGTTGGGCACAGAGCTTGAGTTGTGGAAATACCATGCAAGCTAAAGTGTAAAATGCAAACCTAATGTGACTAAATGTAAACCATTTGGATATTTGTGTTTATACATGGTTTGTCATTATTTAAAAAAACAGTGGATATTGTTTTGATTTAGTTTGTGGTCCTTAGTGTTTTAGCTGTGGTCTTCAGGTTTTTTTTTGTTTGTTTGACTGGTTTGTTTTATTTATTTATTTTTTTTTAAGCTTGATTTTCTTTGAGATTGTGTGTTGATTTGTGGTATTGTGAATTATTAACTGTGTGGTTGAATTTGTTAATTTTGTGCATTTTTATTTTGTGTGTTTCTGTTTTATTTTTTTT